TTAATCCAATCAGCCAATCTATGCCTCTTTAGTGGGAAATTCAAGCCATTAACATTTATTGAGATAATTGATAAGTGTGGGAGCATTCTATTCATCTTATTTCGTGAAAGTCCATTGCTTAATTTTGTTTTTTGCATCATTGTGGATGCTAAGTTCTGTTCTTTAGCTTCTGGGTGTTTACTTTGCTGATGGTCCATTGTGATGGTCAGTGTGTAAAACAGGTTGAAGTATTTCCTGTAAAGCTGGTCTTGTTGTGGCAAATTTCCTCAGTGTTTGTATATTAGTAAAAGATTTAATTTCTCCATCAATTTTAAAGCTTAGCTTAGTGGGATATAGTATTCTGTGTTGGAAATTGTTCTGTTTAAGTAGATTAAAGGTAGATGACCATTGTCTTCTTGCTGGAAAAGTTTCATTAGAGAAGTCCTCAGTCACCCTGGTAGATTTGCCCCTGTAGGTCAGTTGGTGCTTACTCCTGACAGCTTGCAAAATCTTTTCTTTTGTCTTGACTTTAGATAAATTCATCACAATGTGTCTTGTAGAAGCTCTATTTGAGTTGAGGCAACCAGGGGACCAATATCCCTCTGAATGGGGTATGTCAGAATCTTTGGTGATATTTGGGAAATTTTCATTTATAATATTCTCTAGGATGGTTTCCATTTCTCTGGGGAATTCTTCTTACCCTTATGGGATACCTATAACTCATATGTTTGAGTGCTTCATAAAGTCCCATAATTCTGTCAGGGAATGTTATACTTTCTCTCTCCTCTACCTCTTTAACTATCTGAGTTATCTCAAGAGCTTTATCCTCTACCTCTGAGATTCTTTCTTCTGCATGATCTAATCTGTTGTTGATACTTTCTATTGCATCTTTAAGTTTTCTAATTGACTGCTTCAGTTCCTTCAGCTCTGCTGTATTCTTTCTATATTCTTCATATTGTTCATCTCTTATTTGATTCTGGTTTTGGATTTCCTTTTGGCTATTTTCCACTTTCTCAGCAATTTCCTTCATTGTTTACATCATCTGTATTTTAAATTCACCTTCTGTCATTTCTAACATTTCTTGATAGGTGGAATCCTCTGCTCTAGCTACTTCATGGTCCCTTGAAGGGGTTACTCTGGACTGGTATTTCATGTTGCCAGAACTTTTCTGCTGACTCTTTTTCATGAGTGTTTTCTTGCATCTGTTTCCTTGCCCTAATTTTCCTTTCACTTCCTCTTGCTCTTTAAATTTCTGTGCCTCTGGCCTAAAGTTTTAGTGAGTCCTTTTGGTATGGGGCCAGAAGGATTAGAAGATTGAAGAGCAAGAAGGGAAAATAGATTTTAAAAAGAAAGATAAAAGAGGAAGAAGAGGGGATGAGTAAAAGGAAATATTGACAAAAAGAAGAGCAGCACCAAAAGAAGGAGACAAGAGTAATATAGGTGTATAGTAGGGTACTATGACACAACCTTAAAAACCCCCAACCTCTGGGGTTGCTGGGTTGGGTGGTTTCCTTGAGGTAAACAGCTCTTTGCCAGCCTGATTAGACATGGTACCCCACCTCCACCAGGTAGAGCAGAAAGACAAAAATACTATAAATCAAACCAAAACAAACAAACAAAAACCCTTACAGGATAAAATGGGGGGAAAAATAATAGGGGCAGAAACACTGGAAAAATGAAATTCTAATTGTTAAAGAAGGCAAAAATGGAATATTGTATTTAAACTAGTGTAGTGAAAAAAGAGAAAAAAACAAAAGGGGGGGAAGAAAAAAATGTAGAGGAAAAATGTTGAAATTAAGAAAAAACAAAACAAACCCCCCCAAACCAAAAAACCAAACAGTATACATATGTTTCTGAATATTGTCTGGGCAACAGGTGATCTTCTGAGGTATGAGCTGTTAATCACAATGTTGATACAGCTGTATGAGATGAAGACTGAAGGCCTCTGCTGATTTCTCAGATCCCACAGGCTTGGGAGCCCAAATGTCTCCTCAGGCTGCTTAAAAGACACTCCAAACTGTGAGCCTTGGCTAAGCAGAAGCTTTCCCAGGAAAGCACTTATTGCTGGGATCTCTCCTGGCATGGCTGCCTGCTTATCCAGTGCACCAAAACTCGTCTCACTCCATGCCCCTGAGGGCCAAGGCTGTAATCTGCCAAACACTTAGATCTCTCTTCCCAGCATCTCAGTCCCCGCCTTTGGGCAGCTCAGTCACTAGATTACTTGCCCAAGCTCTCCTGACCTATCCCTGCACTGCAACCAGCAAGGGCAGCTACCCCACAGAGGCTGTGTAGGCAGCCCACAGCTGAATGATATTAGCTCCTTTCTGGCTCAGCGGCTCATTCCAGGGCCCCAGACAATGCCCAAAGTCATCCACACACCCAACCAAGATCTCCCAAGGCAGTTCAATCGAGTGCCCAAGTCCAAAAAACCCCAAACAGCCCTCACGTAAGGCTTTTCCTGCTTGCAGTCTCACTGTTGCTATGGTTACAGCTACAGGGCAGCTTCTAACCAAACACACCTACTACCTGCCAGTTTTCCACTGCTTTTATCCTCCTTGAGGAGGAGGTGGGTCCAGAAGTCTCTTGCTGACTCCCTGTGTCACCAAAGGGAAGTTTCTGGGCAGAAACCACCAGCCAGAGATGCCTGGAGTCTTCTCTCCCCAATCTCACATGCCCCCAGTTGCACAGAAGCTGTTACTCGGCCACCATCTTGCTCGAAGCCTCAACATTTCTTTTTTGTTTTTTGTTTTTGTTTTTTGTTTTTTGTTTTTTGTTTTGTAGTGAGAACACTTTATTTATTTATTTATTTTTATTGAATTGTGACTATGTACATTAATGCACTTCTGGGGCACAGTGTGGTGCTTTCACATACAATTTGAAACATTTCCATCAAACTGGTTAACATGGTTAACATTTCTTTAAACAACAGTGAGATTGAACATCTCTTGCACATATTGATAAACCGTTTGTTTTCATTTTATCAAGTATTCATCTTATGTTTTTTGCTTTTTTTGTTTGGGTTCATTTTCTTTCATATTAATTGTAGGAATGTGTATCAGAATTAATCTTTTTTCTATCTTATGTTGCAAAAGATTGTCTTTTGACTTGGGGGGGGAGTATTTTGGTTGATTTTCATGAAGCTGAATTTGTCTACGTTTTCTTTTACAGCCATACTGTCCATCCATTTTGCAGGGTTTTGTGGAGATTCCTTTACCAGATGTGACATTTTACTTACATGTCTTTCTCTATCCTATTTCATGGGTCTATTTTGCTGTTTTTGCAGCAGTGCAACAGTATTTTTATTACTGTGACGTTGTAACAGGTCTTAGTATCTAGTCAAATAACTACTTGCTCTTTAATATTTTATTTTCAAATTGACCTATCACTTCATGATATTTATTATTCCAGAAATAAGAAATCAGACAGATTTTTATTTGAAGTGAATATATTATATTGGTTAATTTTAATACATGATTGATATGTGGAAACATAACTTCATAATATTGACACATCTCCTTTCATAATATGAAATGGATAGTCACTTATTCAAGTAATTTTTAGTCTTTTAACAAAGTCTAATGTATTTGCTTAGAGATATTATGCATGTTTTGTTAAGTCAATCTTTAGATGTTTTTGTTCCTATGGTGAAGTGTATCTTTTATTTGGATTGAGAGAAATTTGTAAGTTCATTTGGAATATAAAGATCATGTTTCTTAATTTACTCCAAGTATTTTATGTTATTATTAGCATCTTTTCTGGTGTTATCTTTTCCAACTGGTTGTTATTTCTATGCAGAAAAATTAATTATTTAGTAATATAAATTTTGCACCTAGTAAACATAGTAAATGCTAAAGATGGTGTCTAGTATCATGAGGAAAATAACTAATAAGCCTTTGAACAACTGGGAAGTTGTCTGGAAATTTCCAGATGAGTCATATTTTTAACATTTTTTAAAACCCAGAAGAGTCTTTAAAGCTCTAAGAGTGGTTCTGAACCTGTGGGTCACAACCAATGAAAATACATCCTGCATATCAGATATTTACATTATGATTCATAACAGTAGCAAAATTACAGTTATAAAGTAGCAACAAAAATAATTTTATGGCTGAGGGTCACCACAACATGAGGAACTGTATTAAGGGTCACAACATTAGGAGGTTGAGAACCCCTGCTCTAGGAGAAAGCCTGGAGAAATTATTTTATAGCTCCAGAGTAGGGATAACCTTACTTTGACACCAGTCACAAGAGATATACAAGAAGAGATGATATAATGCTCAATGAGAAAAGATACAGAGTACGTGTATAGCATCATAGTATATTGACAGTATCATAGCTCTAGTATAGTTATAGTATAAAAAGTAGCTTTGGGAGTATAAATTAAAAAATAATAACCTAGGTAAACTGTGGGGTGGTTTTGGTCAATGGGGCAGGGTGATATTGTAGAGTTTTCAAATTTTGAACCACTCAAGTGTATCAGGTACTAACATTTAAAACAGCCACTAGAAAACAAGTGGGCAAAGAATTCAGCCCCCTTCCTGGATCTTCGATGTTTTTAAAAGTTATTCAGTAGAATCGCTTATGTTTTCTAAGTATAAAATCACTATCTAACAAAATGATACATTTACCCCCACATTTCAAATTTTATTATATTCCTTTTTTCCTGTCTGATTTCATTTGCTAGTAATAAAACACTGAATTTGTATGTTTTGTTTCTTATTCACTTGTATTTTAATCTTGATTTTTTGCCATAAAAATATTTTATGCACATTTGTTAACTTTTTGCAGTTGGTTTCTGGATGTTTTGTTTTCCTCAGAACAATCTTTTAAAAAACTGTCTAAATTTCCTCTGGTACTTTTCTAATTCTCTGCTCTTGTGATTTTTTTTTATGCTTTTCTAATTCTCAAACAATTTAATTCCTGTGGAGCTTATGTGTTATAGGAAGAAAAGTTCCCACTGGGAAACACGGTGACAAGAGAATTCGGTTTCTGTATTTGCTTTCTGAATAACTGGTGTTTCCTAGGGACGACCTGGCCCAGCTGCCCTTCCTGACCATGTGCATTAAGGAGAGTCTGCGGCTGCATCCTCCAGTTCCATTTATCACCCGCCGCTGTACCCAGGACATTGAGCTCCCAGATGGCCGGGTCATCCCCAAAGGTGCCCACAAGGCAGGGGGAGGAGGCTCCTGGGAAGGAAGAGGATCCCATCAGGCAGTGGGGCCCAGTTCTGACTGTCCTCTCCTCTCCCACAGGTGTCATCTGCCTCATCAGTATTTTAGGAACCCATCACAACCCAACTGTGTGGTCGGACCCAGAGGTGCTGACTTGCTCCACGTTTTTAATCCCTTCCAGGGGTCCTAGAGGAGGGGGCAGGACTTTGACAGGGAAACTGGAGGTTACCTCCTCCCCCTACTACTAGACACACTCACCTGTCTCTCCAAGGCTGGCTGTCCTGGGAGACCCTACCCAGCACACCTGTCTCCCTCTCTCCCCAGGTCTATGACCCCTCCCGCTTTGATCCAGACAAAGTCAAGGAGAGGTCACCTATGGCTTTTATCCCCTTTTCCGCAGGGCCCAGGTAAGTTTAGTGTGTCTTAGGCAGGGATGGAGTGATGGATTCAGGGGTCTGGGCATGACCATGGGGAAACAAGGGGGGATGAGGAACTGCAGATGGTCAGAGGCTCATCTCTCCTTCCCTTTCTCACTCCCGAAGTTAAGGGCAAAGGTCTATAGAATGGGGATCTCTAAGAGGGAACCAGGGTGTACTCAGAGTCCCTTCCCCTTTCTGCTGCTGTGAGTTGAAGCCCAGAGTCTGAGCCCGGCTGGGGAGTATTACAGGTTCTCATTGGGCAGGGATACGGGGTGGGGTTCCAGGGATAGTTATTTTCTCTCTCTGCCCTTCAAGTTGATCTGGGTAGAGGTGAAGGCCTGGGGCCAGGATCCAGAGACATGTGGCTGGGGTATTATTTGTACTGGGGTAATTCAGGGTCCCCATCCCCACCCCCAGGAACTGCATCGGGCAGGCCTTCGCCATGGCCGAGATGAAGGTGGTCCTGGCGCTCACGCTGCTGCGCTTTCGCGTCTTGCCGGACCACACGGAACCCCGCAGGCTGCCTGAGCTGATTCTGCGCGCGGAGGGCGGTCTTTGGCTGCACATAGAGCAGCTGAAGGCGGGCGGGCAGTGACCCGGCGACCCCACCCTCCTAGCTTTGCAGGTTCCTGACATTAAAACTCTACAGTCGCCTCTGCCTGAACCACACCCACAGCTAGCAGGGGGCGCTCGGGAATTGCGGGGATCCACGTGGGTAGGCTTGATGGGTGGAGGCGGGGCTGGTCTCTGAGCGCCACACCCCGACGGCCTCGGTGGCTGAGTGCAGCGCTCCTGTGTCTGTCGCTGGTTCTCTCAGAGCCCAAGTATGGACTTTATTCTACAGGAGATAAGGAGCCATGGGAGGTGTCTGAGCAGGAGAGGGCCACAGTTAAGGCCAAATTTAAGGGGCAAGAC